GTTGGTAGTACTCCTCTATCTCGTCTGCTCTTAGCAGTGCACTTACAAAGATAGGTTTTTGCTCCTCTTTTGTGCCCAAGTTGAGCTCCTTGAGATCGTCAACCGTGGCTTGCCCCCCATCCTCAAGTTGCGGTGGTGCAACAGTGATATCTTCTTTGGGGATCTCGTCTTCTTTGCCTTCTTGGATCGTGATGTGGAAGACATCTTGGACTTCCTCTTTAGTGTCGTCCTCTTGGGCTTATTGGTATGAAGATTGTCCAGTATGGATGATGGTGCGCTTTCTCACTATCAGCGGTCTATTTGCGTCAACCTCTAAGATTGTTTGGCGTTTCATCCTTGAAGGAATTAAGCTTCGAATGTCTCATTTTTCTGCTAGCCTGTCGAGCTTTTCTTCCTTTGACGTTGTCTTCCTATTTCTAGAAAACTTCATGTTGTCTTCAAGTCTTTCCAAAGCTGACTGACGAGGAGGAGAGCTAGCCTTGTTGCTTTGCTTCTTAGGTTTTGACAACCTTTCAAAAATAGAGCTTCGGGAGGTTGGCCTGTTAAGCCTCTTGAAGACGGAGGTTCGGTTTGACCACCAATGTGATCAAGGGCTGACGTTCTGGGTCTTGAACGATTCATCCTATCGAAGACTGGCGTTTGAGGGGTGGATTTAGGCTCCTCTTGATCTTGTTCAATGCTCACGCTGATATGTTGAGTGCTAGCATTTTTTGCTTGACTTGAAATCTTCACGGGTGCACTTGGTGTGAAGCCAAGTCCAGCTTTGTTGTTGTTAACTCCGTAACCATGCTTCTTCAACTTCTTTTGAGTCTCTGTGATGTCACGTTCTTTATTGTTGACGGTGTTTGAAACCTTTTTCCCAAGATTCGAAGAAGAAGCGAAGTTGTACCCAGCTTTTGACATGAGTTTGTAGGCGTTCAGATCAAAACCTTTTTCGGTCCTCTTGGTTGGGAGAAAACTTGGTTCCGCCCTCTTTGGTAGAGCTTTTACGAAGCCTTGTGGTAATCTTGCAACCTTAGCGTTGCTTAGCTGTGTCAGAGGTAGAACTACATTCGTCTTGAGCAACTTTACATTATCCATGTGCCGCTGTGCATCGACATTGCTTGCTTCAGTTTCGAACGGGAATTGACCATTCTTTCTTCTTGACATCGGGATGTATCGGAAAACGGGTGTGTTTGATCCATTTGAGGGCGTCCTACTCCCTTTAGTTGTTGTAGGTTTAGCAAGCTCATCATCGTTCTTGTTTGAAGACGGCATGGCTTCTCCTTCTTGCTTCTTGAGCATGGCTTGCCACTCCTGTTTTTTAGGTGTTGTTTTACCCATGGGTTTGATCTCTTTTGGAAGAGCTTCAGGCACCATGTCTTCATCCATGTAGAACTTGGCGTCTGCGAAATATGATTCAGCTTCGGTGAATGGTTTAGTGTCGCTATAGATCACCTTTACTCTTTCTCGGTAGAATTTTAAGCATTGGTGAAGGGTGGACGGTACTACTCCATTCGCATGGATCCAAGGCCTTCCTAAGAGCAACCGTAGGAAGTTCTTGCATCAATCACGTGGAATATCGTGTTTGACTTGAGTTCACCAATAGTCATCTCCACTCGGATCATGCCCATCGCTCTTTGTCCTCCTTGATTAAAACCTTGGATTAGTAGACGACTTAGGGACAGTTCATCTGCCTTGATGCCGATTGTATTCATTGTTGACTTTAACATGATGTTGATGGCTGATCCACCATCCACAAGCATGCGGTTGACTTTGTGCTCCCTTACGTACCCAGAGACAAAGAGAGGATTGTTGTGAGGCTTGGATCCTAGCAGTAAGTCTTCGTCGGTGAAGTGGATTGCGTCCTCGATGGCACAGCATGTGGCACATTCATGTGGCCGAAGCTTCAAGCCTTCGTCTTTGCCTTCTTGCGCTTCGTGGTCATTGGGAATTTCCAAGACCGCTGTTAATGCTCTTCGCATCTTATTTGGCAATCGTAGCGCTTCCTCAATGCTAAAGTGTGTGCAGACCTTCTTCGAGCGTGAGAGTTTTTTCTCCCTCAATGGTGATATCTTTGCCTTTTGAAGGTTCTTCCATTTCTACTTCGACTATGTGGCATGCAGCGATAGTGCACTACTGGAAGAAGTCATTCGGGAAGTACTCATGCAAGGAGATATGAATGCGTGGCTCTTGCTCCATAGGTTCCCCAGCATACGTTGGCTTATCAACTTTTACGTTTCTTTTGGGCTTCCTACTGTTGCGGCGACAATGCTTTCTCACTTGTTCCACCTTTAGTCTTGTGGCTTGTGGTTTTGGTTTCCTTGTTTTTTTATAGGTCACCAATGTCTATCATTCATCATCCTCGGTATGTGCATCATGTTCGTTTGCCCCCGGCGATGGTTGTGCAGAAGGTATCGTGCAACTTGAGCATTGATAGGAACAGTCAGGTGTTGTTTGGAGAGGTACGGGATCGAAAGATCCAAATGCAATTATAGTAGTATATGTTGCGGCCGTGTCTTCGAGGTCGAGCTCGATTCGCCCTTGTTGTGCTAGCTTCATGATGAGCTCTTTGAGGATGAAACACTTACCCACAAGATGGCTCATGATTCGATGGTACTTGTATTATTTAGGATCGTTTATGCGATTCATTTCTTCAGGCCGCTTGCATTTGAGTAGCTCGATTACGTTCTTTTCTAGCAAGTCGTCTAACATTGCATCCATATCTGAGTCAGGAAAAGGGTACGCCTTCTGCTCCAATTCCCTTAAGGTGCTTTTGTACCTTTCTTGGGTGCGAGGAGCCTCACCTCTCTTTATCTCATTTGCTTTGGTTTTGGAGGAGATCTTGATAGGCGCGGATGCGGTCTTGACGGGCGCAGTGTTGACGGTGAACGCTTCCTTGGGGGGCTTCTTCCCAGTCTTGTCTACATTTGAGGAGAACACCTTATCCTTCTTGAAGTCGGTGATCGGCTCTTTCTTCCCGTGATGGGCAATACTTAGCTCCATGTCGTGGGCACGGGTGGCTAACTCTTCAAATGTCCGTGGTTTGATGCCTTGAAGGATATAGTGTAACCCTCATTGCATGCCTTGGATGCACATCTCGATCGAAGAGATCTCCGAGAGCTTGTCCTTGCAGTCGAGGCTTAGATTGCGCCATCGGTTGATGTAGTCCACGACTGGCTCATCCCTCCATTGCTTTGTGCTTGTCAGCTCTAGCATGCTCACGGTGCGACGGGTGCTGTAGAAGCGGTTGAGGAATTCCTTTTCCAATTGCTCCCAACTGTTGATGGACTCAGGCTCTAGGTCCGTGTACCACTCAAAGGCATTTCCTTTTAGCGAGCGTACAAACTGCTTAGCGAGGTAATCTCCTTTTGTCCCCGCGTTGTTGCAAGTCTCAATGAAATGGGCGACGTGTTGCTTCGGGTTTCCCTTTCCATCGAACTGCATGAACTTTGATGGCTGATAACCCCTTGGCATCTTCAACGCGTCAATTTTCTTGGAGTAGGGTTTTGAGTATAGTACGGAGTCATGTGAACTTCCTTCGTACTGTGCCTTGATGGTGCTGGCGATCATCTCTTGTAGTTGTTAATAGAAAGAGATCCCATGAGTGCCTCTGCTTGGCCTGGCTCCGGTTTCACATTGATTTTCTCCACCAAAGGCTTTTCATCCTCGTCGTTTTCCTTCTTTACTGAACCATCCCCTTGCTCGATTTTCACGTTGGGCTTTACATCTAGTTGGTTGACGAGTGCGGCGATTTACTGGTCTTTTTCTTCCACAATCCGTGTTAGCCTTGTGATCGCTTCATTCATATGAGCCAACTGCTCATTGATTGAAGTCGCTCCAGTAGTCATGACTTGCATGGCTGAGTTGCTGCTTGAGTCGGCATCGGAAAACATGAAACCAGAGTACTTCCTTGGGCTTTCCTTCCTTGGCGCCCTTAGCGAGGCCAGGGTGATCACAGGTTTGTGCCTCAGGTGCTCTTGTTCTTTCGGCGGAGTTGATGCAGGGGTGGAAGAGGCGGCAGAAAGAGCTCTTGCCTTGCTTCGAGTTATGACGCCCGAAGTGACACTGCCTGCGGTGATGACGCTCTTGTTCCTTGCATTGGTTGCGAGAACAACTTGAGCCTTCTTTGATGCCACTTGTGCTTTTTGCGGATTCAAAGATAGAGATGAGAGGTAGAGATGGTCCCACTGGGCGTGCCAAATTTGTAAACACGAGAATTCCTGCGATGAACGAGACAAGAACACGTGTACAAAATAATATTTGTATTAATGATTTAGGGGTTACAATCTCTTCTACAAATTTAGCCTCTGATTCTATCTTTGCAATGGGTAGATTTGTTGATGTGGTGTTGATCCAAAGGGCCGTTGGGGCTTAATCTTGAATAACGGTTATGCAGATTTCTTGAAGGTTGACGGGTGAACGGATCTTCAAGGGCCGTTGGGGCCTTATCTTGAAGAACGGTTGGATGTATAGGTTTGTTGATGTTGTTGATCCAAAGGGCCGTTGGGGCTTGATCTTAGGGTGAACGAACGATGAACGATGAACACTTTCTTCAAGGGCCGTCGGGGCTTGATCTTGAATTGGTGGAAGTTCTTCAAGGGCCGTTGGGGCTTGATCTTGAAGGAGGATTTCACGAAGAACGAAGAGAGCTTTCTTGATTCTTCGGGATTTGCTTGGGAGCTTTGGAGTTTCAAAGCTTCAAGGTTGTGGTGTAAGGTGAATTGGTTATGAATTGGTGTCCCAAAATGAAAGCCTTGGCCTCCTATTTATAGAATTCCAAAACTTGATTTTTTGGATTTAAATAATTAGATGAAATAAATCATTTCTGCCAGGTGTTGACACGCATCCCGTTTGATGACTTTTCCGATTTATTTTGATTTTTCGTTTAGTCACATGCTATGTGTAAAATTTATGTGACACATAAACATTGAAATTTTAATTATTAATCAACATTTATTTTACCGAAATTTCGATGTCTACAAGAACATTTATTTCTGCTCAAAGGAATAAAAGTTATTGAAGACCCAATATTTTTTGCCATGCCTGTTGTAAAACATCCCCACATTGGCCTGTAATGTTTCAGGATTATTTCCCAAGCTAGGAAAGTTGAAGTTGCCCAGCAATATAGAGAGTTGGTGTGGCTCTTTTGCAAACTCAAATCGATTAAGTTTTATGATGCATACTCTAAAAAGCAAGTAGCTTTCCTTCGAGGTATTGGGCATGTAGATTTGACGGAGGGATGGTACATGTTATCCAAACACTCCAACTCTCCAATCACAAAGACATCATCTCCCCTCATCGAGGCTCCGTCAACTCTCTCTAGTTCGATTTGACGGAGGGCCAGTACATGTTATCCGGCGTCTCTGATGCTTCCGCCGCCGTGTTTGATGTCCAGCGTGGGACCGATAACGTGGGCGGCGGAGCTATCACGAGGCATAAGTGGCTGCTTGCGATGGATAAGCAGCACGAGCACGGGCATAAGTATGCGGTGTCTTCCGCCGTGTGGTATCCCGTCAACACCGGACTGTTTGTGACGGGGTCGTACGATCATCACATCAATGTTTGGGACACGAATACGACTCAGGTAGTTATGGACTTCAAGATGTCGGGGAAGATGTACCGGACTGCAATGTCGCCGTTGGCAACTTCTCACATGCTCATTGCTGCTGGAACCGAAGATGTTCAAGTCCGCCTCTGTGATATTGCCTCTGGGGCTTTTGCTCACACCTTGTCTGGCCACCGCGGTATGTCCCAAAATTCATAGAATTTGACATTTGACGCACACTTGATACATAGAAAGTTACAAAATTTAAACTTCTTATCATGGTTATGTGGACACATGAAACATTTTGGATGACAATATTGAGGATATAAGAAGGGGTTGTTCTTGAAATTTAGGGTGGACAGTCACGAATGTTGCGGAAATTCACTTCTTTAAACAATCCGGCCTAGTCGGTTTTCTCAGCATTTTGTAATTTGTAGCATTTGGATTTTCTGGTTGAACCCTGTAATTGTGGACAGCAGGAAATTTACAATACACCGTGTTGGCGGGATTCATGCTTAGAACCTTAGTATCGTAAAGCTAGGTTTCTGCTCTTGGTAGATTCATATTCCTCTTTTGGGTTCTCTAGTTTTTGTTTACAAAAGTACAAGTGTTTTTAGTTTTGTTTCTTGGGTTTAAGTTTTAACATATAACGTAGAATAAAGTTTCGTGCATCTAGAGGGTCCTAAGTGCTGTATTTTCTTGATGGCAGATGGTGTGATGACTGTGGAATGGTCTACTTCTAGTGAGTGGGCTTTGCTTACAGGTGGATGTGATGGTGCAATACGTTTTTGGGACATTAGACGTGCTGGATTTTTTCTTGTTTTGGATCAATCTCAGTCTCAGCTAGGGAGACGTCCACCCATCCTGAAACGCTCTGCCACAGTTAAGGTTTTGCTCAGTTTTTTTTTAATATTATTTGCTTCGCTGTTAAGAGGTCGCACTTGGTGCGATGGCAAGTGCCTTCGCCCATGAGCGGTAGGTCTCGGGTTCGAGACTTGGGAGCAGCCTCTCCATAAATGGGGGTAAGGCTAGCCGACATTCACCTCTCCCAGACCCTGCGTAAAGCGGGAGCCTTGTGCACTGGGTACGACCTTTTTATTTGCTTCGCTGTTAGTTAGCCTATTTCACCAGCATTTCTGAAATGGTTTTATATACGTTTTTGGGAAATGTTGTTTCCTCTTTGTTAACCTATTAACATTGGTACTGAAAAAAGTTTTTATGCTTTCCTTCACTCCTGTCATGTTATTCTTCTCCGTTTTATTCAACACAAAGTTGAACACAGCTAAACTTGTTGGTGTCACATGGATCTGTGACTTTTATGACAATGAAACGTGATGTGATCTCAACCAATACGATGATCCACACTGAAGATACAGTGTGAATGCACAACCCATTATATGCGATGTCTATTTGATTGTATAAGTCCTGAGTTCCCTCTTTTTCAAATTTCAATTATAATTTCATTGCATTATTAGCAATGTTTGTTATTGAAGCTTGTAGTCAGTAGAAGAATCTAGTTTTAACTGGAGAAAATGGTATGTTGAACTTATCCTTACTGATAATATTTGATTTTATGTCTGGCTCAGGGTTCAACAGTTAAGTCCTCGTCCCCAAGTCAAAGCACATCTGCAAAAGGTCGGGCAGCACAAAGGAAACTTACGAATGGGAGCGGTGCAAAGCACTCACCTATTGGTAAAGGTCCAGTAAAGGGATCTATGAAGCAAATATTACATCCAGGGATGCTATCTAGTCAGGATTGTGCCACTGCTCCTTACGGTGCTGTTACTCGATTAAAAGTCACTGAAGATGGCATGTACCTCTTAAGTGCACTTTGAGTGATTTAATTTTGGAGGTTTGTTATACTTGAGAAGCAAATCCATTTAAATTGTCTATCCTATGTTTGAGTCCCTTTAACCGAGTTAATGTTTATACTAATCGTAGTGTTTCAGGTTCACTGTTTACTTTTTTAATTATATCCATCAATTTACACTTTATCACAGAATTATTGAAGTTTAACCCAATTCGCTGGTGTCATACAGTACAGATCACACTTCAGAATACGACCTTCAACAGAAAATAAAAATAAAAAGAGAAAAGCATGCATGGGGGATCTCACACCTTAGTTTCCTAATGTTTGATTCATTCCTTTCATGCATAAGTTAGTCTAATTGGTTTTTCATTCATTCCTCACTGCCGATGTCATTGATCGATCTTTTGCATTTCAGGTTCCGATTCAAGACTTGTGGGATATAGAATCTGGCTGCAATACTTTGGTGGACTTTGAAACTGTGCGTATGCAAAGCAGCAAGCCCATACAGTTAGCTACAAGTCAGAATTCGGAGCTTGTTTTTGTTCCATGCATGACAGCTGTGAAGGTAATGCATTCTTTTCGTAGGTTTGAGTCTTTTGAATTGTACATGTGGATTAAAATACAATCATCTCTACAAACTTCAACGTTTGACATCCAGATTTTGTTTCTCAGGCATTCGATATGTGGTCAGGTAAAACATCCCTGAAATTTCGTGGTCACTATGAACATGTAAACTGTTGCTGGTTTAATTCACAGGATCAGGTACTCTTCAAGCGATTTAGGAGAGCTGTAAACCCTTTTTCCGACTGTTCTAAGATCATATTTATAATTACAAAGCCTGTTGAAGTTTGTCTTCAGTTATTTATTTATTCCATGAGTTCACCTTGTTATCTGCGGATTAATGATGATTTTGGAATCCTGTATGAATTGTAATTCAAGTCTCTCATTGCAGGAATTGTACACTGGTGGCAATGATAGACAAATTCTAGTTTGGTCGCCCATCCAGAATGGTTTCGGATGAGGTGGGACACCCAATGATTTTGTATATCCAACATTATTAGTTCCTTAGCGGCTTGTATCTTATACATGTTTAGAAATGCAGGATAAATAACCCTACAAGGACGAGGATAATTGGAGTGACTAGCATCCGCTTGCTTGCGATCCTCATTTCCGCTAGGTAGAGCACCTTTGTCTTGCTCGGAGTTTCCTGTTTTGCTTTGAGATCTAAGAGGCTGTATTTGATAGGCACAATGATTTGTAAGTTTATATTTTCTTTTGGCGTGTGTATATATGTACATTTAAACTTGTTCTTAAAGTAGAATCAAGGGAAAAATTCTTAGAAAAACTTGTGCACTGATGAATTAAAAGAAGAAAAACTGAGCATTTTCTGAACGAAAAATAAAATATGATAAGTGATATTTAGTTTAGTAACACATTAAAAAATTGTACATAATTACCAAATGTATCTGTCAAATATCTCCCTCGATAATTTGTTCAGTTATCCTATATAGTTACACCCTAACAAAAACCTAAAATTCTGTCGTTGTACCATGCCGAGAAACTATGTTCGTTGTTGTCCAACAGCATGCAGTCAACATCAATAAAAAACTTTGTCACCGGAAGCAACGTTCCCCAATTCTTGGTCTGAAGCTCCATTCTCCGGCTGATTGTCTTCTGCCTGAGTTACTGTAGAGGTGGCAACGGGCGATCCATCAAATTTTATACTTCCTCCGAACGGTATGGTTGCTTGTGTCGTATTTTTAGACTCTGGTCAGTGGAAGAAAAATGGTTATTTATTGCATCCCTTTATGATATCAAATGTTAAAAAGGTGAAGTATAAATCCTCATCCCGCAGAATGATTAATGACGGTGAGCAACACTGTTGATTTGGTTATCCTTGCTACCTAATTTGGTGCCGGCAAGTACTACTTGCAAGACGTGTAATATTAATACATTACTAGCATATGAGCACACACAAAGTGTGTGAGAAATTTTTTTATTTTTTGTTTTTGAAATAGAAGGAGAGAGGAAGAGAGTGATAGAGAATGTGAGAGTGGAATTTTTATTAAATTTTTTTTAATTAGAGATATGTTAGAATTACATGTAGGTGAGGTCTTGAAAAAAAAAAAATTTGGTTGTGTGAAATTACATTTATGCTCCATATTTCTTATTCATGTTCTGTTTTAATTAGAGAGTTAAACTGATAATTTCATAGAATTTTGATTGGCAATGAGTGTTTTATTAATTAATAGAAATACTTTAAATTTATGATATATCATTTACGTTTGCGTTACTCGCATTATATTATACGTGATAGTACTCTACACATTACTGTGGAGATTCAAATTGCACTATTTATGTTTCTTATGGAATGGGCCCTCGATTTTGACTGAATTACAATTATCCCATTGTGTCATTTGTGTGTGTGCGTGCGCTCTGTGCTTCACCCAAAAACGCCGGGTTGGGCTGTTGTTTTTGGGCCCGAAGTGGGCTGTCCCTTGAGTAGGTAAAATGTCAATTTTGCTTGATTCAATCCAAATCGAACGGCTAGGGATTAGGGGTGGTTTGTCATTTTACAGTTAGAGGCGTGGGATGGTGGTGGGGAATGGGTGTGTTGGCTGCAGGCTGCAGACTGCAGAGAGAAGGTGGGGTTGAGGGATTGTATCTCTCCCTCTCTGTCATTTCTCTCTTCCTCCATATATGACATCTCCATTACATTTCTCTTCAGGTTCTCTCTCTCTCTCTCTCTCTGAAATATCACATGAGAGAAGGTGGTTTGGAGGATAATACGATTGTTGCTGTAATAACAAGTATGTAGTTCAAGTTTTGAAAATTTGATTATCATTAGTTGCTTAATATCATACTAATTATGTTTAATTTGAGATTATAATCATGTTCAATGAGAACCCAGATAGGAAATTTGAGGCCTTTAGCTTGGGGTGTTAGTTAAATTTGTTAGATTTTTCATGGATTTTGGGATAATATAGTATGTTTGCTCTAACTGCTGCATGATCTTTGTAGTGGGGAATTTGGCGTGGGACGGCTTGATGATTTTACTTGGCTTCCTTCAGGGGACAAGCCGAGAAGGAGTTTCAGCGTGTTCACAATTGAAATATGCATCAAGTTGATTGAAATAACTTAACTACCTTACTTCGTCTAAATGGGGAATATTTCATTTCCTTTTGTTTGTGTTTGTAGTGATGTAATTCAGGTTCTGTTTATTGTGATTTTAAATCAAATGCCTTACTTTGTCTAGATTTTTTGTGCATTTGATTTGTTTACCAATTTTTAAGACAAGTTTGCAGACTTTGCACGCTGTGTCGTTTGTCACACACTATTGGCTGTGTCGTTAGGATTTACTAATGGATTTACTATGTTTGGGAATTTCAGGAATTTGGGTCGTTGAAGAGAAAAATTGGTTCCTTTATGTTAAAATGATTCATGTCTGTCTTAGATTGTGGTTTCAAAATAATAGATCAAATAATTGTGAAATTAAATCTAATAATTAAAACACTCATAGCATTAAGTTATCCGTTAAAGCCAGATACAAACAAATTAAAAATGGTGACAATGTGAAACATTTCAGTACTACAAAATCACATATTTTTTTTTCATTTTATTTTTATAAATAAAAAATAAATAAAAAGGAGGCAACCTACGTTATATGTCTTCTTTTTTTCTCTCTTATGTCACGTACCAGAATCTCTCGTAGTGTGATTAGTACCTTGGGAAGGGGAGTGGGAGTAGGGTACAGTGATGGTTTTGATGTCGTTTTGTAACTTTTCTGCAAATGGTTTCTGACATTTTATTTTAGCTGAAATTTCTTCAGTCATTGTTTACTAGCTAATTTAACTGTTGGTTTGCAAACCATCTTCTAAGGTCTTTGTCAAAATATTAATAATCTCTCTATATGTGTAATCCCCGTAATATTTTAGCTGAAATGCATTCAGTCATTGTTTACTAGCAAATTTAGTAGTTGGTTTGCTAACCAAAAATAGTAATTAGTAGTAGTAGTTGGCATGCATCATCATCTTCATTAACAACACAAATAGTTAACAGTATCTGTTGTTTTAGGAGACTTTATAGAACGTTGCAGAGATAAGATTCCGAAGCTTTGAAATGTTAAATTTTGGGTTAAGAATACAACGATCAAAATACAACGCCAAAAAATAAAAATGAGGCCCCGAAACATGATAAAATTTCTGATATTTTGAATATGAATGTAGATATGCATTTATGGTAATTACTTGATGCAGGTGGGTATGGGGTTATGCATAAGGAGAAATATCAGAAAAGCTGATTTAAAATTGGTTATGCCTTTCCCATCATGCTCGTAACAGTATCATTTGCAATCAGCAAAATTTTCCTGATAAGGGAAAGCTAGGAGAGTAAGTTCGACAGACAAAACATTGATGCAGAGAGAGAGAACTTACATCAGCTGTGAACATCACATTGACAACGTTGTGTTCGTATGATCATCACAAAGACATCGTGAACATCACAGACAACCTTGCATTCGTACGATCACAAAGACATCATATCTTTTCACCAACTATTATTGGAAGATTGAATGCTTTAAAAAACTTGGTCAGATATTTAACGAGACAGGTCATTGACCTACTCCTAACTAGGGGTGGACATGGGTAGGACCAAAATTTGGAGGGACCGGACCAGACCCGTTGTAAACTGTAACATAGGGGCCAGGCCAGGTTCTTGGATTTTGAGTTTTGGAACCAGACATAACCTAGCCCGTTTAAAACGAGCTGGGTCCGCGGGTCCACAGAACAGCGGGCTGAAGGCAGTGAAGCACAGATTGTGGCTTTTTGCACAGCAGCACACATTACAGAATACAAAGGCACAGATTATTATCCAAATAACATCCAAATTTCGCGGTTTGAACATCAACATAACATCCAAAATAATATCCAAAGTCCAAATAAACATTCAAAATAACAAACATAACACGAAACATCCGCAATAACTTCAAAATTAACATCTGAAATCACATACGTCTCACATCAAAGGAACTATTATTCAGACATGCCTATCTTACCTACATATTACAATTACTGCTGGAAGTCTTCTTGAGCTCAATTTATGGCATTGACCCATGAAATGCCCGCATTGATGATTCACCAAGTGAATAGCTTGACACGAAAAAACTATCCAGTCACGAGCGTGAATCGGATCTTGGTAACAGAATTTTGCTCCCAAGAAAAAAGAAGGGAAGTGGGGCTTGGTCTTTGCTTTGGAACAGCCTGCAACTTCTTCAAAAGTTTCAAGGCTAGTTCGATTTTTCCACAGGCAGTATAACAAAGAGCAAGAAAGTACCACCTCTCAGCTCGTCTATACAATCCGGTAACAGAAAGAGCGTAAGTCAGATGATTCATGATTTTTGGATCCCACTTTGTCTCTCGCAAAGCCACCTTTTTCACAAGAATTACCAACAACAGAATTGCTTCTTCTGTATTATTTTTGGGCATAGTTGTGCCCCATATTTGTAACTGAGGGGGAAGGTTTGCTTCAACACCGCCATAGAGTAATGTGCGAGCTAAACTTTTCTGAATAGCAGTAAACCTATCCGGTTCTATATTCCATGGCTTGATTAAAGCCCAGCAATACGCAGTGATAGCCTCATCAAGATAGCCTGCCTTTGTCCATAAAATGGGGAGCAGCTCGGGCGCTTTGTGAAACATGTCTGGCAATTTGCAGTCCTCGCCAATGTCTACAGGCATTCCGTTAGGTAGTGCTGATTTCAACTGTATCAAGAATAACTTTGCACTACTTTGCAGCCTCTGATGAATAAAGTACGAAAGCAAGCAAACTAATCAATACTGATCCAATTTTCATTATACTACAACACGAAAGCGTAATCAGATACCTATATATCTTCCACGTTCTCCCAATGATCTTGCCTTAAGTAATATTGCTACAATAAGTAGGCTCACAGAGTGCATTGACATTACACTGGGAAGAACCACATTATTGCCTTTCGTGCACGGTTTTCTTTGCCTAGTTCTCTCCACAATAGCCTTGGCCATCCCCGGGGTTAAATTTCTAATTTCAATAACTTGGAACTGTTGTGCCTTGGCCCGTTCGTCAGTGCAGAAATGAGATTCAGATTACAACCTCATTAAATCACACTCAGTTGAACATAATAAAATACAAGAAATAAAGACATCGAGAAATTTACGAGGTTCGGCAAAAATCATGCCTACGTCCCCGGCGAGATATTGCTCTTCACTATGAGAATAAGAGTACAAGTACACATGAGTTAAATCGACATAATCCAATCCCAAATCTCTTGTACACCCACTCATAGAATTTTCAAGAACCTCACTCTACCCCAAGAATTTCTTACTCTCACTCTATATTTTCTCTCCCTTGCCCATGCTTTCCCATGGGAGAGCCGAATGCTCTCCTCCTTGGATGCTCTCTTTCACACCCTCTCCTCTTCGGCTCTTTACAAATAAATGGAGAAGAATAAAAAAATCAACCTTTCCTTTTTCCACAAACATAATGATGATGCATCATGCTCCCTTTGCCTTTTACTCAAACCCCAAAGCCACTCACGTGGCATGCAAATAGGAAACCAAGAAAAAAGGCCAAAACAAAAGAATATCAAGCAAACATCATCATTGTCTTCCACTATTAGCCGAAATGAGATTAGCCACATTTGATCACTAATTCGAAAGCACAACACACAAAATCACTTAATTGTTGCCAGCTCAAAATATGAGCCAATCACAACAGAAACACCTGAAGTGCAGCCTCAAAATTCCCCCTTTGGAATTCAAGCCTCCCCAACAAAGCTCTTGCTTCCTAAAAGCTGATTGAAAAATACGAAATTAAACATTAGTAAGCTGTAGAACAAGGAAACCAATCACTAGTTACTCAACAAGTTTAGGGCCCGTTTGATAACCATTTCAGTTTTCAATTTTCGGTTTTTGGTATTCAAAACATGAATTTCAAATAGTGAAACAAAAACAGTCACCTCATAATTCAAAGATAGAGCTTCTTTAAGAGTGGATTCAGCTTCATCCACTTGAATATCTTCGAATTTGGAGTCCCAGTCACTGGTCCTAGATGAAAGGGCACTCGCCAAGAAGTCACTCGTGGCAAGGGACTCCGGCCAGTGTGGCGGCTCCTCGAATTTGAATTGCTGTCCTGAACAAGAACACAACATCTTCTCCACAAATCATGGACCCTTGCGATTTGATTTCACACACAAAATTGGGGGGGGGGGGGGGGGGGGGAATTCACCTGTCTGTGATTTGTTTCATTTGTGCACACACCTGGAAACAGTAAAACATGAAACCATGTCACTGTCATTGAAGAAACAAAAACAAATGCAAGCAGTAAAATTACGAGTTGTACGGATTTTAGTATGAAAAAATGGTCGGAAACAGTAAGCAACAACGTAGATCCCCAAAGCAGAATAGGCAGTACCGAACAGGAAACACAATTGTAAACAAAACACCCAGCAAAATCCAAGTTTTTTTAATGTTAAAAAACCATGAAAAATAAAGGAAATAAAAGGGCATAGATTTGGAGGCAAAGACAGTCTCTTTGAAAAGAAGAACACCGAGGAAGTTGAAAGGGGCGAAACAAACGATGAGGAACAGGGTTTTCTGAACTTACCCCAGAAAGAAAGAAATTCATAACCCAGAACGTGATTTGTGGCAGTCGTGGAAGGTTTGAAAGATACCTCTCTCTCTCCTCTCTCTCGTCTCTCTCTCTCGTCTGAGTTTTCCGGGGTTTCTTCAGAAGTTTGGAATCCTTCGTATTTTTCAGGTTCAGTAGAACCCAAAGCTAATGATGGGACGATGGAGGGAAAAACAAACGTGATAATAAGCAAGGTTCTAAAAGTCGCTAAACGCTAGTCGGGCTGCGGGCTGGGACCTAGCGCCTAGGCGGATTTAAGTAAATCTATCATATTTCAGGTAAATAAGTGTCTGCTTCTACTTGAAATATATATAATTTCATCATAAGCTACAAAATAGAATGCATATATATCATGAAGTATTGGAACAAAATGAAAACATGTGAAATAAGGATATAATGTTTGTTCATTCAAGTATGCAACAAGTCTCTTACACTTTATTGGAAAAAAAACAAAATGCAAAATGAAAGTTATGTATTTTCTGTCTAAGTGAGTTGCAACCTAGGCGGGTCTAGGCGGGTGCCTAGGCGGGCTAGGCGGGTGCCTAGGTGGTCTAGGCGGTGGGCTGGGGCCTAGGCATTAATCGGGGCGGTGGGCTGAGGCCTAGCGCCTAGGCAGCGCTAGGCGGAGATTTTTAGAACAGTGATAATAAGAGCAACTCCACTCTTAAAAAACAAGCTGCCCAACGTTTATTTAATCAACCCATCAACCCAAATAAATACGAATCAACTCTAATGAATAGTAATTTGCCAAGTGTATGGACAAAAAACTAATCAATTCGTATTAGAGTCTAATCAATTCGAACTAAAATATTTTTAATTTTTTTTATAAAATAATATGACACACTCCGATCTGGGATGTCCACTAGGACTCTGAATCAAGCTGTGTTAGCCGACACCTGAAATGTAACGAAGCCATAAAGTGTGATAATGTATAAAATGTGAATAAATTAAAACCTAAAAGTCCATGAGTACACGAGTGTGCGGTGAACGGATCTGGACCCATTTCACTCGTGATACAGAGCATAGGTATAGTGCAGTAAGGTGAGACAATGATCATACCATCACAAGAAAGCATTTGTACCAAAAAGTGCCACAAATCCTCGTCGATACGGAACTCTGCTGCTAGAACCTGAAGGGGTACAAAAATAGAGAATGTGAGTGAGTGAAACAAAACTTTTCAAACCAATTCCAACTACCAAAGGCAGTAGCCCCTCACCGTAATACCTGTATAAATTCTCGGAAAATAATAGGCGTGACTATAAATCAATACCATAACCAAAATAATAGTCTTACAGTTATACCGTGTCAAATATCTCAATAAGAATAAGTACTCAGGTGAAATAAATCAATATGAAATGGCATATTAGTCGGATGCACCTATAGTGGGCTGTATGGCTGAATTAATAGCTCATCAACATGCTAGCCGGAGTCACCTCACGTGACCTGTACGACTTATCCATATCTCATCAATCAAGGCTAGCTCATAAGTCGGAGTCACCTCTAATGACATGTACGACTTATCCATATCTCATCACATATCTCATCATTTATGCTACCTCATCACATATTTCATCATATATGCTAGGTCATCACATATTTTAGCATATATGCTAGCTCGTCACATATTTCATCACATATGCTAGCTCATCACATATTTCATCATATATGCTACCTCATCACATATTTCATCATATATGCTAGCTCATCACATATTTTAGCATATATGCTAGCTCATCACATATTTCATCATATATGCTAGCTCATAAGTCGGAGTCACCTCTGGTGACCTGTACGACTTATCCATAGCTCAATAAGTATACCTGCACACGAGTCGGAACCACCTAAAGTGATCTGTACGACAGGACTAGATGTAAATAAATACACTCAAGTGCTACAATCACGTGAAGACTATACGAATAATCGCGGGTCACCTACGAGTCGGAACCACCTATAGTGGTCTGTACGACATGACTGTGCACCTACCTTGGATCCAAAGTGAGCGTAAGGTGCGGGAGGTGAACATCACGTGAAGGACTGTGCCCTGGCCATGGGAATATCTTCGAATTTGGAGTCCCAGGTCCTAGATGAAAGGGCACTCGCCAAGAAGTCACTCGTGGCAAGGGACTCAGGCGAGTGTGGCGGCTCCTCGAATTTGAATTGCTGTCCTGAACAAGAACACAACATCTTCTCCACAAATCATGGACCCTTGTGCACACACTTGGAAACAGTAAAACATGAAACCATGTCACTGTCATTGAAGAAACAAAAACAAATGCAAGCAGTAAAATTACGAGTTGTACGGATTTTAGTATGAAGAAATGGTCGGAAACAGTAAGCAACAACGTAGATCCCCAAAGCAGAATAGGCAATACCGAACAGGAAACAACAATTGTAAACAAAACACCCAGCAAAATCCAAGTTTTTTTAATGTTAAAAAACCATGAAAAATAAAGGAAATAAAAGGGCATAGATTTGGAGGCAAAGACAGTCTCTTTGAAAAGAAGAACACCGAGGAAGTTGAAAGGGGCGAAACAAACGATGAGGAACAGGGTTTTCTGAACTTACCCCAGAAAGAAAGAAATTCACAACCCAGAACGTGATTTGTGGCAGTCGTGGAAGGTTTGAAAGCTACCTCTCTCTCTCCTCTCTCTCTCCCCTTACTCACTCTCTCTCTCTCTCTCTCTTTCTCGTCTGAGTTTTCCAGGGTTTCTTCTAGGGTGGTTTGGTAGGAGATACCATACCGAAACTAGTATTCCGAATCCCAAATCGAAATTTTTTGGGACGGGAATTTGAAAACCAATCCCAAATCAAATTTTCGGGAATCCTGAAATATTTTTATAATTTCAGGACAAATCGGGAATCCCAAATTTAAATATGAAATTTTGAGTTGTTGTTCAAATATATAATTCAAGCACACATTCATAAATAGGAATGTCATTTCATTCACACTACCATTTAATCTAAAACTAGCATGCTTGACTGTTTTTATCAGAGTCAAAATTCAAATTAATTAAACCCTTTTTGCAATCTGTTGAGAGACAAAAAAGAATCAAGCCTTTTGAAATCATTAGTCATGGCACCATCAATAATAAAATCCAAATAAATATCAAACAGAATATGAAAAATATGCAAGGTATAGGGCATTCCAGGTTACAGAGCATGAATTAGAAACTACTAGCATCAATTATAAAAGAATAATATATATAATATATATGTATATATATGTATAAATATATAAATATATATAATAATTAATATTATATATTTTTGGTTCTGTATGAGATTCCTGAAATATCGAGAAGCTAATCCCGAATCCCGTACCGAAATTTTGGGATAGCATCCCTAAAATTTTAGGAATTTCGATTTGGGAAATTTTTGGTTTGGGATCTGGATTTTTTCGGTTCGGTTCGAAATTTTCAGGAATTTTTTCCACCCCTAGTTTCTTCAGAAGTTTGGAATCCTTCGTATTTTT